GTACTTGCAAAAAGTCATAAACACTCTTATTCTCCCAGTTCGACTCATGTTTCTAAGCCATTTACCTTAATTCATTCTGATGTCTGGGGCCCTGCACCTGAATTTGCCTTTTATAAATATTCCTATTTTGTTTTGTTTGTGGATGATTGCACCCGTATGAGTTGGGTTTATTTTCTAAAAAATAAATCTGAAGTGTATGATGTGTTTATAAATTTCTACAACATGATCTGTACTCAATTTGCTGCCCAACCCCAAATTCTTCGATCTGATAACGGAGGAGAATACATAAACTTAGATATGAAACAGTTTATTTCTGATCATGGCCTTATTCACCAGACTACCTGCCGGGATACTCCCCAACAAAACGGGGTAGCTGAGCGAAAAAACCGAACCTTTCTTGAGATTACTAGAGCCATTATGTTAGAATCCCATGTCCCTGTCCACTTTTGGCCAGAAGCTATTGCCACAGCCACATATCTAACCAACCGACTACCTACCAAACCTCTTGCATATCAAACTCCTCTTGACACTCTTTCTTCCCATGTTTCCATTCCTTCCTATCATTCTTTACCTCCATGGGTGTTCGGATGTGTTGTCTATGTTCATCTCCCAAAAAGGATCAGAAATAAACTTGAACCACGAGCCATTAAATGTGTCTTTATTGGGTATGGGGTTAATCAAAAAGGGTACCGATGCTATGATCCCATTCAAAACAAAATCGACATCAGTCTTGACTGTGAGTTTTTTGAACACTCCTATTACTATACCCAGCCTGGTCCTCAGGGGGAGACTACGAATGATGACCTTAGCTGGTTAATATATCCAGAAATGATGGACCATGATCCTCCAACACAAGTAAGCAATACCACCGACGTCGACTCTGAAACATCTGTGTCAGCTCCTTCTCTTCAATCCACTCCAATGACAACCACTGAGCACCCTGAGTCAACATCAGTTGAGGTAAACTCTGAATCATGTACTGTTCCTACTAACTCTATATCTATTCCTAGTGATAATTATCAAAACAGATATGAGCTTCCTCCCAGAAGCACGAGAGGTGTTCCTCCAAAAAGGTATGACCCGGAATATGAAGACCAACGGTCCAGATACCCCATAGAAAGAATCAACAATGAAAACTTGTCCAACACAGCTGTTGCCTTCACTACCTCCCTATACTCAACAAACATTCCCAGAACTGTGGAAGAAGCTTTTGAAGATGAGAAGTGGAGACAAGCCATGGAAGATGAATATGTTGCCTTGGAAAAGAATCAAACATGGGAAAAGTGTGTTCTACCCAAAGGGAAGAAGAAGGTGGGATGTAGATGGGTATTCTCCATTAAGCACCGGACAGATGGAACTATTGAAAGGTACAAGGCAAGATTGGTGGCCAAGGGTTACACTCAGACTTTTGGGATCGATTATTCAGAGACCTTTTCCCTAGTAGCCAAGATAGACACAATACGAGTATTGTTCTCTGTAGCAGCAAACAAAGATTGACCCCTGTATTAGTTTGATGTTAAAAATGCCTTCCTCCATGGAAGCATTGAAGAAAAAGTCTATATGGAACCCCCTCCAGGATACTCTCATGACTTTAAGGATGGAGAAGGATGTAAGTTGAAGAAGGCCCTGTATGGTTTAAAGCAGTCTCCAAGAGCTTGGTTTGGAAGGTTCACTAAGGCTATGAAGAAATTTGGGTACAGACAGAGTAATTCTGATCATACTTTATTCATAAAGAGGGAAAATCAGAAAATCACCTGTCTAATCATATATGTAGATGATATGATCATCACCGGAAATGATGAGGAAGAAATTGTTACCTTAAAGGGGAAGTTATTTCAAGAATTTGAGATGAAAGATCTAGGAAACTTAAAATACTTTCTTGGTATAGAAGTCCTAAGATCTAAGCAAGGGATTTTTATTCATCAACGAAAGTATATCCTCGATCTTTTAGCTGAAACTGGAATGTTAGGTGGTAAACCGGCTGACACTCCAATTGTAGCAAATCATGGTCTTCAGGTCGTAGAAGGGGCAAAGGCAACCGACAGAGAACAATATCAGAAGATTGTAGGGAAACTCATCTATCTAGCCCACACAAGGCCAGATATTGCATATGCAGTAGGGGTAGTGAGTAGATTCATGCATCTACCTCAAATACATCACATGACAGCCGTAATGAGGATTCTGAGGTATCTAAAGGGTACAAGCAGCACCGGGATCTATTTTGGAAGAAATGATAGCCTCGATATAATTGCTTACACCGATGCAGATTGGGCCGGAGATCGAGATGGAAGGAAATCCGCTTCTGGATACTTCACTTTGGTAGGAGGGAATCTTGTCACTTGGAGAAGCAAGAAACAAAAGGTAGTAGCCTTGTCAAGTGCGGAAGCTGAGTTCAAAGGAATTGTGAAAGGAATAACTGAAATCCTATGGATTAGAAAACTGCTAAATGAGCTCGGTTTTCCTCAAAAAACAGCCTGCAAGTTATTCTGTGACAACAAAGCAGCAATAAGTATTTTTGGAAACCCTGTCCAGCATGACATAACAAAACATGTTGAGGTTGATCGACACTTCATCAAAGACAAGTTAGAAGACAAGGTTATCAAACTCCCATTTGTTCGATCAAAAGATCAACTGGCAGATATCCTAACCAAGGCTGTCAGTACTGAAGCCTTCAGTAATATTTTGCGCAAGTTGAGCATTGGAAATCCGAGTGCCCAACTTGAGGGGGAGTGTAGAAAATAACCATATTTAGGAGAGTAATTATAGAAATAGAATATACTAATTATGTTAGTAATATATATCCTGTATAGCTGTTTCCTTATCCGTTTCTTTTTCTCTCCATCTTTCCTGTATAAATGTAACAGTATTTCACCAGAGTAATACACAGAAAATTAACCTAAAATTATTCTCTTTATTTCTGTAATTTTAACAGTCCATATTATTAGGAATTTTTCCCGTATTTGAGGCATTTGGCATTGCCCTCGAGCTCTGTTCTAGTGGTAAGAGGTCATCCTGTATCGTTAGAAAGCTTTCTCGTATTTGGGTTATTTGGACCCTGAGCTTTGGATTAATGGTAAGAGCTCAGCTTGTACGGTTAGCAAATTGTCTTGTATTTGGGGTATTTAGACCCCGATCTTTGGTGTAGTTATAACTAGTAAGAGCTCAGCTTGTATGGTTAGCAAATTGTCTCTATGGTAGCAAATTTCTTGTATTTGAGGGGTGTTTGACCCCCAAGCTATCATCTAAGAGCACACAACTTGTGATGTGTGGGTTACTCGCATGTCACAAGATCACATCTTGATACAGACAAAAGCCTAGTGTTTAAGTAGAGAATGGTAGAGGGACGGGCATGTTATCCGTCGTATTTGGATCTATATTCCATTTGACCTAGTTTCTCTGTTATCCATCGTATTTGGATCTATACTCCACTCCTAGTCACTAAGAAGTGTTATCCTGTCCTCCGGGGGACTGAACTCTACCAATAGGTTCTTTCTCTCAGGTAATTTACGCCCAAAGGTGAACCTTAGGATTTGTACTAACGGAAAAGTTTGCTAACTGGAAGGCAATAGAATCAGCCGATAGGCACAGGCAAGGCGAATCATTTAGATAAGCTACCAATTAAGGGGTCAGTGGAAATTCTGAATATTTTGATTTATGCATTTTCATGTCTAGATTTTGTTCCAAAAATGTTACTGATGATTATCTAACTAATCTATACAAATGCTCTTTTCTTTGGTAAGATCCACAGCTCATCAACATATGCACCAGGCCAGGAATTTCTTGAAAATAACATCAGAGTAAAACCAGATTTAGATGCCCTCGGGGCATTGGGAGATGCAGGCTGGTTCTGCATTGGCTCGATATTGTGGGCTATGAACCAAACTTTGTTAATGACTGTGACTGTACTGCCTAATGTTGCAAGAAACTCAGCTGGAGTTATCTTAACATGTAGTGCCTCCTTGTATTGGGAAAAAGAGGAAACCGTTGCTACATTTTACTGCTCTTTCATTGCACACGAGACAATGAACTTGCGAGTTTATGGCTCTAATGGGACATGTTATCTCTATGACTTCATTATCCCGTTCGAAGAGGACTCTGCTTCGTTCAATTTCACATCTAGTGCTAAGTTTGTGGATCTTCATATCGGATGGAATGTGAAACCTCAAGTAGTTGAAGTAACTTCTCAGTTACCACAAGAGGGTTATATGATTCAAGAATTTGCTGACCTGGTTAAGGCCATTAAAGTTTCGAGAAGCAAACCTGAGATCAAATAGCCTCATACTAGTAGAATCACTCAGCTCGTGCTCGATGCTGTGAACAAATCTATGGACACGGGTTTCCAGCCAGTTCATATGTAAATGCTAATGCTCATTTATGATTCTTTATTTAACGTTAAGAAAAAAAAGTATCTAAAAAATAACACATTATATACCATGTGTAAGAGAGTTTATGTATGGACCTTTAACTTGATCAAGATGATTTGTTGAGCTTGTACATCATCTAATAGCTTCTTAGTTCCTTATCTTTTATCATTGTCTTTTACTCATATGCTATCTCACATATCAATGTATATAACTTAAATCCACGTTTATGTACTTCCCAAGTATGTAAATTAAGCACACCGATCTGAGTATATAATTTGAATTTTGTCCATATAGATACTTCAACTCCTGGGATTTGAATAGTGAAGTACCATATATGTATCATTTTAAGGCATCAAAGACACTATTTTGAAACAAGAAAAGAAGATTTTGAGCGTAAACTCTCATCTCTAGATATTGTCATTATATATATAAACTCTAAGCCATGAATACAAAGCTTTAGTAAGAAAGGAGTCTGGTAATAGTGACAACAACAAAAATACCAACACCCTTCTAACTCAGAAACAAATCAATTACACAAAAGACACTCAATTCCCCTTCATTTTTATTTATCACTAATTGCATTTACGCAAGTAGTGTCATATTCAATATGCATCAACATAAGATTGAACAATCAAATCCACAAAAAGACACTTGCACGAATGAATCAATTAACAATGAGCTACACAATTGCTATTAACAAAAAAGTCATACATTTGAGATATGCAGTAGGATAGAAAGTAGTAATGTCAAATTATGTTTGTCCCTCCTTCAACTTCGTAAGCTGTTTTCTGAGTTGCTCATGGAAATGTTCGGTTATAGCAATTCTCGTGTCAAGGGTCCGAAGAGTGTTCTCGGACTTTTGTACCGCTGAATCAACAGATGCTTTGGTTCAATTAGGCGTTGCAGATACATCCCACAGCTTATCATCATCATCAGTCTAAATAGAAAAAAATCTTTAAATAAAATAGAAAAAGTTTGAACAGGAACGGTTATTTGATTAAAGAATTTAAATCGAGATAGATGTTACCCTCTTGTTCAGGTATAACAAAAATTTTTTAACTGTAGGCTTAACAGCGGTAGGATCCAAGTAGAAGCAACATTGTGTCACGGACTTAGAATATTTGCTAAGACTCCGTGCGGCACTCGACAACTTACTCACGAATCTTTCACGATCTTATAAGCTCAAGTAATCCTTTAAGACTCGGAACGCTAAGAGAATGTAAAGAAAGACTTAGAAAGAACTTTGAAAGAGGGCTTGTATTAAGCTTGGAAGCTTTTCTTACAACTCTTGGTTGGATTGTTGGATGAATGATTTACAAATGAGAGGCCCTCCTATTTATACTACATCCTAAGGGCCTAAGTGTAAATAAAATTTACTCTATAAGTCCTTCTAATAACTACACTATAGTCTATATTCTAGAGAATTCTACATTTTCTAGAATATGCTAATCTCTTCCAAAAAGATCTAATTAAGGAATTCTCTAGTCTTCTCCACAAAACTAGAAGGTTCTAGAGTTCTCTGCAAACCTCTTCAAGACTCTAGATCCTTCCACCCCTATTCGGACGTCAAATCAGGTTGGAATTGTGGCGGGACATCACAATTGACATCTGAAGTAGTAAGATTAACAACTGAACTTGTATCAGCCGTCATAGCTGCAGCTATGATTCTGTTTGCATCCAAAAAAAAATTAACTCTAGGCTTAATAGCGGTAGGATCCACTTGGGAAATAGAAGTAGAAGCAGCATTGGCAGCTGTAGTAGTAAGATTAACAACTGAACTTGTATCAGCCGTCATAACTGCAGCCATGATTCTGTCTGCATCATTTTCTTGCGAATCCAAAATGGCAAGATCTGAATATTTTATCCAAAACTCTCTCTTTTCTTTTTCACCAGCCTCATCATTTGTCACTTCTTTTGCTTTTCCTTTCCCCTGATCTTGACAAATATACTTCCCATTTCCTTTATCAACGGAAACCTCATTTCCAATGGGAGTTATCTCAAAATCCTTTTTCCATAGTTCCTGCAATTTATTTGCAATATTTATTTGCTGAACGTTACGTCAAAACTCCTTACGAAGGGCACCGTAATTACCATCGTGTGATAACAACAGTATTTCAAGTTGCTCTAAATTCTGCGTGGCACCCTCCAATGATCAGCAATTACAATTATCTCTTTTTACCTATTTATTTTTATTATTTATTTCTACTTCAAATTTATACGCTTTAAAAAACTGAAAATGTTTAAAAGCATTACCCAATTAATAACATTTAAGTGAATGGAAGATGAAGAGATCAAAAACTTTTTATATAAAATAGAAATATTTGATATCCACAAGCAACAACAATAGACTCTTTTCCTCTTCTTCTTCACATCAATCAATTTTTGAATATCATGTTTTTATAAAACAAAAAAAGGTCATGCAACAAGTGTACCTACACAAAATAAAAGACTTTTTTTTGCAAGGATGTTGCACTATAATTTTTCCTACAAAAAGATATTTATTGAAAAAAATATTTATTTGATTGAAAAATTCAAGCGTACCTCTTCAAAATACAAGACTTTGTGAAAGAATGTTTCACTGTAATTTTTTCTACAAAGAGATATTCACTGGGAAAAAATTTCATGTGATTGAGATTTTTACAAGGGTGAAACGTGTTCAAAGGGCAAGAAGAATATTTAGAAAAAGAATCCATTTATTTATGGAATTCATATCAAATTAAGAGGAGAATAAAAATGAATTATTTTGGAGAAATAATTGATATATTTATGAAATTCAAATCAAATTATGAAGAGGGTAAGAAAAAATGTGTTTTCTATTGGCTCCAAAATTCCTTTTCATCCATATATTGGCTCCAAATTTAACTCTTTAAATATTTTTTAAAATACTTAGCGTTCAACTATTGATTATAATTTAATTTATTAATATAATTTATGAACAAACTCACTACCTACTCATTACTAACTAAACCTCACCCAATTGATAATCCAATTATAATATCAAAATCGCTATAAAGACTACTAAAATACGATGAAATTATAGATTCCTAAAAATTACATCCAAAATTATTCGAATTCGATTCGAAACCCCAATTAAATTTAGATTGAGCCACTTATTTAGGAGAAGACTTTCAATAGGATTCTCTTTCAAGATTGAATTAGAAATTTTATGATAAAAGGTAAAGAAGTAATACATCCCGAATTAATTCATGCACTTTCAAAAAATATAATTTTATAAATATTTATGATTTGTTTTAAAACTTTTAATATATTATTTTGAAAAAGAGTTACCTATGTAACATCACATAATTGAGACTTAAGAATGATTAAGATGAACATAGTCAAACTTTTAAGTTAAAAATATCGATAAACTTAAAATTTCAGTCGAAATTTGAGTTCGAAATCTAGACCTAGAGATTGACTAATTCATATTCATCTTATAATCGGAGTTTGAAATTGAGACCTTGATTAAAAGATTGACTAATTCATATTCATCATTCGAAAAATGCATTTTCTATCAAAAGATCTTTTTATAGTTAAATTAGAAATCGAATTAAGGAGCCGTCAAGTTTTGTGGCTATACCATATGCCACCTAATATTTTCTCACCAATATCTATCCCCACTATAATCAAGATTCATCAGAAGAAAAAAAAACAAAATCAACAATGTCAAATGATGAAACTCCAATTCGTTTTGGCATCATAGGATGTGCAGAAATTGCAAGAAAAATCTCAAGAGCTATTAATTTATCCCCAAATTGTACTCTTTATGCCCTAGCAAGTCGTTCAATTGAAAAAGCTCACAACTTTGCAATCAAGAACAATTTATTTTCTGATTCTTTGAAGATTTATGGAAATTATAGTGAAATTCTTGATGACCCTTTTGTTGATGCTGTGTATATGCCATTACCCACTACTTTTCATCTTCAGTGGGCAATTTTAGCCGCTGAAAAGAAGAAACATTTGTTGTTGGAAAAACCTACTGCTTTGAATGTTGAAGAATTGGATAAGATTCTTGATGCTTGTGACAAAAATGGGGTTCAGTTTATGGATGCTAGTATGTGGTATCATCATCCAAGAACTGGGAAAATGAAGGAGATGATTCTTGATTCTAACCTATTTGGACAAGTTAAAGCTGTAAGTTTTAGAGGGTGTTTTTTTAAATGGCATATCTAGACACCTCAACTTGGTCTCAAACACTCCAACTTGTCCCTATGGATATCTGATGTGGACGTGACACGTAAAGTTGGAGTGTTGAACTGATGTAGTGGAGACGAGTTGAGGTTTTTAGACGTGGACTATCGTAGTTGGATTGTTCAGTTACTTGGTCTCAACTAGCAATTAAAATACTCCAACTTGTCCTTACGGTGTCTCGTGGACACCTAACACTGACTTGACTCATTAAGATGGAGTGTTCAACTGATGCAGTGAGACGAGTTGAGGTGTCTAACATGTGGAGTCTCAAAGTTGAGTCTTTAGTTGCTAGTTTGAATGAACCTATTTTAATTATAGTACGATGTTCAAATTTACAATTCAGATATATCTCAGTTTTAACTCCGTTATACTTTAGGATAATTTATGTCCATACTATTAGGAATTTTTCCCGCATTTGAGGCATTTGGCATTACCCTCGAGCTTTGTTCTAGTGGTAAGAGGTCATCTTGTATCGTTAGAAAGCTTTCTCATATTTGGGTTATTTGGACCCTGAGCTTTGGTGTAATGGTAAGAGCTCAGCTTGTACAGTTAGCAAATTGTCTTGTATTTGGGGTATTTGGACCCCGATCTTTGGTGTAGTTATAACTAGTAAGAGCTCAGCTTGTACGGTTAGCAAATTGTCTCATATTTGGGGTAGCAAATTTTCTTGTATTTGGGGGGTGTTTGACCCCCAAGCTATCATCTAAGAGCACACAACTTGTGATGTGTGGGTTACTCGCATGTCACAAGATCACACCTTGATACAGACAAAAGCCTAGTGTTTTAGAGAATGGTAGAGGGACGGGCATGTTATCCGTCGTATTTGGATCTATATTCCATTTGACCTAGTTTCTCTGTTATCCATCGTATTTGGATCTATACTCCACTCCTAGTCACTAAGAAGTGTTATTCTGTCCTCCGGGGGACTGAACTTTACCAATAGGTTCTTTCTCTCAGGCAATTTATGCCCAAAGGTGAACCTTAGGATTTGTACTAACGGAAAAGTTTGCTAACTGGAAGGCAATAGAATCAGCCGATAGGCACAGGCAAGGCAAATCACTTAGATTAGCCACCATCTTATTCTAGGATTCACCAATTAAGGGGTCAGTGGCAATTCTGAATATTTTGATTTATGCATTTTCATGTCTAGATTTTGTTCCAAAAATGTTACTGATGATTATCTAACTAATCTATACAAATGCTCTTTTCTTTGGTAAGATCCACAGCTCATCAACATATGCACCAGGCCAGGAATTTCTTGAAAATAACATCAGAGTAAAACCAGATTTAGATGCCCTCGGGGCACTGGGAGATGCAGGCTGGTACTGCATTGGCGCGATATTGTGGGCTATGAACCAAACTTTGCCAACGACTGTGACTGCACTGCCTAATGTTGCAAGAAACTCAGCTGGAGTTATCTTAACATGTAGTGCCTCCTTGTATTGGGAAAAAGAGGAAACCGTTGCTACATTTTACTGCTCTTTCATTGCACACGAGACAATGGACTTGCGAGTTTATGGCTCTAATGGGACATGTTATCTCTATGACTTCATTATCCCGTTTGAAGAGGACTCTGCTTCGTTCAATTTCACATCTGGTGCTAAGTTTGTGGATCTTCATATCGGATGGAATGTGAAACCTCAGGTAGTTGAAGTAACTTCTCAGTTACCACAAGAGGGTTATATGATTCAAGAATTTGCCAACCTGGTTAAGGCCATTAAAGTTTCGAGTAGCAAACCTGAGAGCAAATGGCCTCACACTAGCAGAATCACTCAGCTCGTGCTCGATGCTGTTAACAAATCTATAGACACCGGTTTCCAGCCAGTTCATATGTAAATGCTAGTTCTCGTTTATAATTCTTTAGTTAACGTTAAGAAAAAAAAGAGAGTTTATGTATGGACCTTTAACTTGATCAAGATGATTTCTTGAGCTTGTAAATCATCAAATAACTTCTTAGTTCCTTATCTTTTATCATTGTCTTTTACTCATCTGCTATCTCACAGATCAACTTAAATCCACGTTTATGTACTTCCCAAGTATGCAAATTAAGCACACTGATCTGAGAAAATAATTTGAATTGTCTATATAGATACTTCAACTCCTGGGATTTGAATAGTAAAGTATCATTTTAAGGCATCAAACACACTATTTTGAAAAAAGAAAAGAAGATGTTGAGCATAAACTTTCTCATCTCTAGATGTTGTCATTACATATATAAACTCCAAGCCATGAATACAAAGCTTTTGGCAAGAAAGGAGTCTGGTAACAGTGACAACAACAAAAACACCAACACCTTCTAACTCAGAAACAATTCAATTACACAAAAGACTAAAGACCAAAAATAGGACAGAAGAAGTGGGAAAGAATACAAAGATATAATTGAATGAAGGACAGGTAGTATGTATTTTAATTGCTATTGTAAGAAATGCCTTCTCCTATTTACGAGACAAAGGATAGTAGCGTGGTTTTCAAACTTGCTGAATTCACAGATGATTATTACTTGTTCTCCGCTGATTGCCTGGTTGAATGATGGTCGTCAATGTTCTTTGCTGCGTGCTTTCTCTTTCCCCGAGAACTACGTTTTCTTGATCGTGTTTTTGGTGGGCGCTTCTCGGTGTGCTCTTGCATAGTGACCAACTTTTCACCAGAAGGAAGCTCTGGAGGAACATCCGGCCATGGTGTGCGTTTTGCTGGGACAGTCACATCTAGTGGAGGGTCAATGATCCATCTGCATTTCAGATATGAATTAGTTATATTACATTCAGGTGAAAGTCACCGATTTGTGTTTGATCTATAAAATTGAAGCACATGGTGCTGAATACTCAACAAGCACTATCAAAAAGGGCAGCCCGACGCACTAAGCTCCGGCTATGTGCGGAGTTTGGGAAGGGTAGGATCACAAGGGTCCATTGTGCGCAGCTTTACCCAGCATTTCGGCAAGAGAGTGTTTCCACACCTCATTCATCTTTCTCCAAAATCATTCTAAGCCAAACTCAACCACCTGTTGGACTTTAACAGTCTAAATCAAACTAAATGAATGGTATTATGGAAATGGAAATCTAGCAACATAATCAACTCAATGCCAAAAGTCATAAATAGACCCGAAAACGTCAGAATCCCATAGGTGTCTACTCCAAGAATGGGCACAACTATATTTATGCTTAAACAACAACACCCCATCGTTTATATCTAAACCAGCAAAGCTACATTGTAGTCAAACCAAGTCCAATTTCCTCAACTACCACTTCACTGTCACAGGCAGAGTAGTTCACAACCAAACTATGAATAGATATATACATGTCCAAACAAGACATGTCATCCAGATTGTCATTACGACACCAATTGAAAAAGAATAAAAATTCACTCACCATCCTAAATCAATACTAAATGGAAGGCAGATATATTCATAACGAGAACTAACTCGAGGCCCCACTTCCATTGGGTCACCTTTTACTCCCATCTTCAAATTGATCTCTATCACAGTGAGTAGTAGTAATAACTATCTACTGTATTGCAAAAGAACAAGGAAAAATCTAACCACTAAATTGCTCTTACAGGATCAACGATTACCAAGAAGAAAAGTTGTATGTTTCCATTAATTTAATTCTTACATCTGGAGTAATTGTGCTTCAGAAAGAGTTAACCGGTTGCACTAATTAAGAAAACACCAACTATCATAAGTCACTTCCCTAATTCAATCATTTCCAGAAAAAAACATCTGGAGCCCCATAGCAGCATGAAGACATACAAAGACATTCATACTGGCAAGTGGCAAGTGGCAAGTGGCAGCCAACACTATAATGTTTGAGCGAATTTTTCTTTTTATTAATTGGTAAAAATGTTTAAGCAGATTTTACTAGGAGAAAACCAACCAAGTGAACAAACTGAATAACCCTATTGCTATTGAAACATTTGGTGGATCAGATCTATCCTTTTAAAAGATATATATATTTTATGATGATGGTGTCAGGGCCAACTATCCATCCTTGTTTTCAATAAAGCCTCATTCCGAAAACATTTTTCCAAATTTAAGCTTGACACTGGTAATTTATGTGAGAAAAGGAACCGTAGTGTGGATAAATTGGGACGGAGGAAGTAGCAAATATGGGCAGGTTAGTGGATGATGAATTACAGATACTGCGAAAAAATCATACGAATGTTCTTCATGGTAACTGATTCAACTAAGATGGAATTCCCTTTCCAAATGCTGTCTGTTTTGGGAGATAAATGGAAGCAGAATCAGATTTTGGGAAGACGGACCATCTGAGGACCATGAAGAAAGCTTCCAACAATCTTTATCCTCCCCCCAGCCCTCAGATTGGAGTGGGCGTATGAGTATTGAGATATGGCTAATAAATGTATAAATAATATCCAAACATGTATATAATACTAGTATTTTGTTCTACTAAATATATCTTATACAATTGCAAAGTTTTCTTAATATCTTATATGAACTAAAGTTGCATTTCTTAAGTATAACAACAATTACATCTCAATCCCAAACAAGATGGGGTTGGCTACATGAATCTTCACTGCTCATGTTTTTTCATTTAGGATAGACCATTTCATAAGTATATTTCATACATTAAAAAGTTCTTTAATAATTTACTTTTTTATGAATGTTTTCCAATACTTCTTCCAAACCAATAAATGGAATCGACCAGTCACATGAGACCCCTCTGACATATAATAACTCAAGAAGAAGAAAGGGAACTCTGGAAAACTTTGGTATCTTATGAAGGTAGGAAGACCAAACAGTAAGCATTTACTTCAACCTATAGGAACTGCAGGTCATTATGTCTCTTGAGGACACATGTTGGACTATCCTAGCTCCTTTAAGGAATAAGGACCGTGACGCAAAGTCGCAAAGGCAACAATAGAAAAGTTGGCGAAACTACAGCAAAGGCGACCGGGTGGACGCCTGGACGGGCATAAAAAATTAAAATTCAAGGAAATGAAAGAGAGAGAGCAGTCAAAGTATAGTACTTTGTTTTTGCAGGCCCGGGACTTTGACTGTTCGCAATAACAACTCTTCCAGTAGGATACTCATAGATGGATTGACTTTTGTAGACTGACTAGTGGTCCTTCTGTTTTCAGCTTGAACAGTCTTTGTGCACCATCATAAATAAAGACTCTTGATACCTTATTTATTATTTTGAAACTGGTAAAGTATTATATTGATAACAAAAATCTGGTACTGAGTTGTTACCAGAGAATTACAATGTTTGGACTCCTGATCCTTACTTGTCAAAAGACTGAATATCAAAAATATTATGTGGTACTACTTTTTCATATAAAATTGTCCTTTTACTATTAGTTCCTAGCTTTAATGAGAACATTTATATCATTCTAATGTCATTCTCATTTCTGACATACCGTTGTTTCATGGCTCTGGACTTAAAAACGGAGAGAAATGGCATTATAAGAGGATCTTTCATGTTTTAAGAACAGCTGAGAATCATGAAACAACACAATTACGATTTTGCTTAGTGATCAAGGAAACAGAAAAGAATGATATAGACATATTAGTTAAAAACAACAAACAAGATTCAATGCTATGAACATTCAAAACACAATGCGACATGCAGCAGGATAGCACTATTAAACTAACCTGGCAGGGAATTTGCTGTCTGCTCGTGCTTCAACCCGTAGCCACCACAGCATAATTTTGCGCCCACAACTTCCGAGAGGCTCCACCATTGAAAGATCCTTCAGCAAAGATAGAGGGTTCTCAACATCTTCCCTGTCTCCCACTACATCATCCAAATCCTTAACCCATTCAGGCTTATCTTCAGCATCTTTCCAGACTAATCTGGAATTCAACACAAAGCCAGCCCACTCAAGCTTCCTTGGCAGCACAACTGCCCTGTCACCAATGTATCTGGCACTCTTCTCCACGTATTGAGACGAATCAAAGGTGTGCCAGCCAACAAAATGATCTGACGAATTACAAGCTGGACCCTGAACTGGCAATTGCAAATTCTTATCTTCCTCTTTCTGAACTGTTGATATCTCCTCCTCCACACCACCTGAATGAGCAAGAATGCCCACCGATAGAGCACCAATCCATTTCACTTTCTGAATCTCATCAAAAAACTCTAAACTATGCATATTACTATCATCAGCAAATATCACTATCCCATCCAACTTCTCTTCTCTCACATATCTGTTCCGTCAAACAAACACAGAGCACACTATCATGTTTAATTTCTAAAATTATCAAAATTATTCTTCACCACATACATAAAAACACAATACAAGAACTAAAGTAAATAGCTATTAGAAACAAAAGTTCATTTTTTTAATCAGGTAACAAGCTATTAGAAACAAACTTCTATACCTCATAGCGCGAAGTCTCATTTTTGCCTCCAATTTATGGCGATCTTCCCACAAAATAGGCATCTTCTCACGTAATCCAATGTGAACTGTCTTCAAACCCGATTTGGCGATCAGCGAGGCGGTCTCATTAGTTGTGCCTCCAGCTTCCACCACAATCCACACAACATTGTATGGCACATTCATCAAAGAATGCATCACACCTGTAAGATGCAAAGTCTGAAAAGTTCTCACATATGTTGGTGTTACAGCAATTACAGTCCTTGGACTCTTAACACCATACTGTAATCTCTGCTCCCTTTGAACTATCTCCATTATCTTATGTGCCTGCATCACCTCACTCGCATTCGGATGAGGCCAAGGCCTTATTAATATCCCATGCCGTCCTACCACCACCCGGCTACTCGACACCGATGTCCTATTCAGCTGATCTTCCCCACCGGAAAATGAGGTCATTTCCGTCTTAACAGCTACATCAGCACCCGGATCATGAAACAAAGAGGTCGCTGAATAAATACTGTTTGGAGTAGTAGCTGAGTTAGTAAACAAAAGAAAGAACACCAAACGCGAAAATCTGAAACCCAGAACCAAACTGATCAAACAGCAAACCCCATGAAGCACAAGCCAGAAAATAGTCGCTGGTGACTTTACAGACCCATCTGACGACGAATCTAACGCTGACGAACCTCTAAAGCTATTGCTCCGGCGACCTTGCTGTAAAGCTGCTAACTGCTTCATTTCTCAGTATAATCAAAAGGTTTTCAAGATCTCGAAGTTTTAGACTGAAGCAATGGAAAAAAAGAGTGGATTTGAAGATTTTTGAAGGAAAAGCGTTAGTTGAGAAAGTGTTTGGTGAGAAGTTAAAGAGTTTTAATCAAGAAAGAGATGTTACTTTAAGCTTAAGAATCCAAAAGGGTTGCTTACTAACTATGTATTATATTCAAAATTCAACAATTGAAAGAGACGCCATGAACGAACAGTGGAAGAAGCTTCAGAGGAAGACTGAAAAACGGATTCGGGTCACAGGTAGGATCCGAATAAGATGGGATTTTTCAGACAGCAACGAGAAAGAAAGGGGAGAAAATCTAGAGTTGAGGAAGGGGTATTTTAGGAATATTTTTTTATGAGATTATTACTAATAAATTCAAATTAGGAAAGTTAATAAAAGTCTTTTTTTATGATGTTTCGGTTATTGCATTTTTTTGTTGTAATTGCTATATATTCTTTATAGAATTTTTTCTTTGCGATAAATATTGAAAACATTCCTAAATTCGGTGCAAGCTATAATTTTCATTTTCGAACTATTGACGGCCTTAAAAATATCATTTTACTTGACTATCTAAATTTAGATATATCCCCGATTAGTTACATGACATATCGAGTTGTCTCAAACTTTTGTAGGAGTATAGTGCTCTTAACAAAAAAATCGAAATAAGTGTTGCAAATATTCCTAAAATTGACGCACTCTTGTTGAAACATTAAAGGTGATTTCAGTTCAGTTAATCAAGTAAATTGATGTTTTTAAGAAAGACAATAGTTTGTGACAAACTTATAGTTTGTGTCGATTTTAGAGGTATTTTCAATACTTTATTATATTTCTTTTTATATTTATTCTGATTTGATATACTTGAATCGAGGGTCTTTTAGAAATAGTCTACTTACCTTCACGAAATAGTTATAAGATCTATGTATATTCTATCTTTCTCAAGTTTACTCGTACAATTTCATCCATTATATTATTGTTGATGTTGATGGTGTTGTTAAGTTATTAAAGATGTTTTGTTTTGTTGCAAAACTAATAATGGAATTAGTTGGTACTTTTTCCCTCTTAATTAATTAGGTGATTAAGTAAGCAAATAATGATGCAACTAATTGTGCTCAATAAAATAAGTTAGTATACTTACTTGTAGGGGTGTTTATGACTGTTTCGTCTAATTTTATATGTTATCAATTTAATTATTAATTTGTAGATATATTAAATTAATAATTTAACTAATGAGATATTCATTATTAGTTATGATCTTATTAAATTATTGATTTAATCATAAACAAATAACTTGAAAATTGAGCAAACAGTCCAATAACTAAATATACAAAAATGTCTGAAATTTTAATCAAATAAATCAATATCAATAATATTTTCTTCAATATAATTTATTTATTAAATTGATTATGGACACTAATATTTTACTGCTATGTATTAATATTTTAATGTGGGTTGACATTTTTTTTTATATCTCACTATGTATTTTCATTAGTAAGTGTCACTATCAAAATTTTATTTTTAAAATATTACAAAGAAAATTATGTTTAAAGTCCATGAGAAGAGGGGGGGAATGGGGAGGGGTATTTTTGGAAATTCATTTCGAATTAGTATAAAAATTTTGGAAAGTTCTTTAAGTTTTTTTTTTTTTTTTGGTAACCAAACTAATAATAGAACTTATGGTGGGTGATTAAATAAGTAAATAATTGTGCTAATAAATATTTTTTGTAAAATAAGTGTACTTGCTACTACTATATATTAATGTCTAGATCCATTGTCACGATGTGCTTCTTTCCTAGTCACAGTAATAACCTTATGGCTACTTTTGTATCTTATTAGTTATTATATATATACTTTCTCAATTTTCATTGTTTAGTATTTGAAAATCAATAGTTGAATATTGAATTTTCACAATAGAAATTAACATCGGTAAGCTAACTAAGGAAGGTAAAATGCTTTATACCAACATTTTTTTGCTTCATATAATTTAAAATTGAAATTTCTAATTAAGCGATAGTGTAATAATAAATATTTCATCAAACTCTGATAACATTTTATTTCTTATAGTCACCCGATCTTTTCTTTCTTTCTTTTTTAAAAAAAAATGTGATTTTAAAAATTATTTAATAATTTAGGTAATGAAGTCAATAAGAAAATTATTAATGACATATATTAGAATCAAATTGTTGTGATGTGTTTGGTAATTGTGGCCTGTGGGCACAACAAAATATTGAAGACAGGATATTTTATTTCTATGTTTGGTTCTTTTTTTAAAAAAATAAAATATAAAATTGAGGTTGTAACTCATGTTTTTTAAAATATAAGATGTGAATATTGTATTTTTAGAAGGCATAAAATAAAAAGAGAAACTAAAATGAATCCATTCTAATATTTTGGATAGTCAATCGTTTTAGTTAGGGGTTTACATTGACCTTTTTGATTTTTTTGATTCGATGAACACACAAAAAAAAATCAAAAATATTTGTCCAAAATAAATATTTTAATTTATTTCTTGAGTTTATATTTACAAAGTGATATTTTGCACAACTCTCATGCATATAGTGAAGCTCACATGAAAGAAAGTGCATTAACATTTAGATAGTGTTGGACAACACAAATATTCCATCTATGACAAGAGTCACGAGATGCTTGATGTTCGGATCGAAGTCATGATCGAATATAACACTTGTTCGATAAAGTTAATTAATAGATAAAGTTATATTTTTACTATTTATATGAATTTTAAAAATTAATAATAAGCGCTTAATCTAAACCGTTTGATTTGATCAATTTGCACTCATTAGTCATAATTCATTGGCTTATTGAAATAATTATTAGAGATTCAAATGATGAATATGTAAGCATTACAACTTATATATGTAGTCTTTTTTTAAAAAAAAGAATCAAAAACTTTTGCGTGCATTATAGTATTTGCTCTATGTATCAAAGTCGATAAGATTCAAAGATTATGCAGGGTTACTACTTCGCTTATCCTATATGTATACATTCTCATTGTAATAAATATGAATCCTCAACGCAAATACTCAAGTAATATATAATTATTGATAGCTTAATTACAACGGCAACTCTTATATTATTGAATTACAAAAGAAAAATACTGAAACAACAAGTAACTAATTATAGGAATAAGAATATGAATAAGAAGTTTAGACTCTAGAAGAAAAATTAAGAGGAACATATCATTTCTTCACAATATGCCTGCCCAGTATATTTCGTTCGATATAACAAGTGTCATTTTGTATACGAGATAAGGTAAAATATGTGAAATTAAATTTGAGATTAAATTTATGACGTATTTGATAAAAAAATAAAATAAAATATCGCACATAAAATGTACTCTACCATTTCTTTTACTGTAACGAGCTCTTTCACCACCAATGGCGATTCCCGCCATTTCTCTACCAACTAACTTAACTGTCGCAGCCACCATTAAAGCCAATTCAAGCTTCAAAAAGCTTAACAAAACACCCACAAATCCCTTCAATTCATCTCTCAAATCTCTCACCAAATCCGGAAAACTCGACGAAGCTCTTCTTCTGATTGAATCCCAAAAATCTTCTCAACTTGACATCGAGTCTTATTCGTCACTTCTCCATGCTTGTATTTCGAAGAAATCAGTAGAACATGGTCACAGGCTATATATTCACCTTCTTTTGAATTCAAACAAAAGTTTTCTCAACGACCCTTTAATTTTATCTAAGTTAATCACCCTTTTCTCTGTTTGTGATCAGCTAGATGAAGCTCGTCGTGTTTTCGAGCACGCGATTGGAAATGGGAATCGACCCGAATCAGTTTGGGTTGCAATGGCAATTGGGTATTCGAGAAAAAGGTGTTTTAGGGAGGCATTACTGGTTTATTCTCAGATGTTGTTCCGGTCAATTGAACCGGGCAATTTCGCATTTTCCATGGCTGTGAAAGCTTGTTCGGGGATATCGGATTTGAGGGTTGGTAGGGGTGTTCATGCTCAGATTATTAAAGCTGATAAAGAAGCTGATCAAGTTGTGTACAATGCTCTTTTGGGAATGTATACTGAGTGTGGGTGTTTTTGGGATGTGTTGAAGGTGTTTGAGGAAATGCCTGAGAGAAATGTTGTGAGTTGGAATTCGTTGATCGCGGGTTTTGTTAAGAAAAGACAGGTTTTTGAAGCATTTGAGACTTTTAGGAGAATGCAGAATGAGGATGTGGGATATAGTTGGGTAACTTTTACGACAATTTTAGCTATCTGTTCTCAGGTTACGTACCTTTATTATGGGAGAGAGATACATTCACAAATTGTTAAATCAACTAATGTTCCTGATGTTGTTTTACTAAACTCGCTTTTGGATATGTATGCGAAATGTGGAGTGATGGAGTATTGTAGAAGAGTATTTGAAAGAATGAAATACAGAGACATAACATCATGGAATACCGTTATCAATGGGTATGCAATCAATGGATTGATGGGAGAAACAATGAAGTTGTTTAATGAAATGGTCAGTAGTGGAGTTAGGCCGGATGGTGTGACATTTATTGCCTTGTTGTCTGGCTGTAGCCATGCAGGGCTTGCGGATTTAGGCGAGGAATTGTTTGAGAGTATGACTGGAGATTTTGGAATTCGACCTTCCTTGGAGCATTACGCTTGTCTTGTTGATATATTAGGTAGAGCTGGGAAAATTAAAGAGGCACTGCAAGTAGTGGAGAAAATGCCTGTCAAGCCTAGTGGAAGCATTTGGGGCTCACTGCTTAATTCGTGCAGACTTCACGGAAATGTCTCTCTTGCAGAACTTGTAGCGGAGCAGTTATTTGAAATGGAACCTAACAACTGCGGGAATTACGTGATACTGTCAAACATTTATGCAAATGCAGGGATGTGGGAGGGAGTTAAAAAAGTGAGAGAGATGATGGAGAATAAGGGAATAAAAAAGGAGGCGGGATGCAGCTGGATACAAGTTAGAAATAAAGTACACACTTTTATGGCTGGTGGTGGTTTTGAATTTCGTAATTCGGATGAATACAAGGAAGTTTGGGATGAGTTATCAGAAGCTATTGAGAAAATTGGGTATAAACCTGATACGAGAGTTGTCCTTCATGATGTAAGCGAGGAAACAAAAGCAGAGTGGATATGTGGGCATAGTGAACGGCTTGCTACTGTATTTGGTTTGATTCAAACTGGTTCTGGTATTCCAATTAGAGTGACAAAAAATATTCGTATTTGTGCTGATTGTCACTCTTGGATGAAGTTTGTGTCCGAAATAACAAGAAGAAGGATTATAGTGAGAGATACAAACCGATTCCACCATTTCGACCAAGGGAAATGCTCTTGCAATGAATACTGGTGATCCTCATAGTTGTTATTTTGTAAGTACTTCCATCAAGATCTTTTATCTTAACTATGTACTAAATCAGAAAAATATTGGTTCTTTCGAAACACATTCTTGTCATTTCTATGAAAATTGAACGTCTTGCTGAAAAGATGGAGTTCTTTGCTTTTCTTTTTACAAGTTGAAAGAATTTTGTGAACCCGGAATTTGTTGTATTCAAATGAGGCTTTTTCTCAGTTCCAATGAGGAATTCTGACCATCTCATCTAATTGATGTTAAGAGAACGTTTTTATTTACTTAATTATGTCTTTAATATTCCCCGTCATGTGCACCAACATGTGAAATTCTTCTTGATAATGAGCAGCAGATCTCCGCAAGTTCTAATATTACCTTTAATTGTATGACCATCTCATCTAAAAGATTGAGTTGTAAGAGATGATATACTTATTCGTTTAATTATGTTTTCAACAAATAGATTGCAAATATCTTTAAACTTCTCATCACTTGCGGAGGGCGAATCTTGACCATAACTTCAACTTTATACATTTTTTGTAGCTTCACACTTCCCATCACACTTAAACTAGTTATAAAAATCATCTATACTACAACCAAGCAAAACAAACAAACAAAAAGAACGAAAAGGTAAGGAAGAAATTGGATTCTAGAGTGTCGACATAATTTTCATATATACAGTAAGCTCTCATGTAGCTAGCGGCCAGTGATATCAGTAAAATTGTTGGTTGCATTAGAAGCTGATGATCCAGTAGTCATGGATGAGTTTGCGATTGTTATCGTATCCATGCTAACAAAATTAGGCCTGCTAGGAGTTCTTCTATCTGCGCTACGATCACTTAATAGCATGACAACAATTTCAGCCACGCTTGGCCTAAGATTTGGAGGTGATTGTGTACAAATTAAGGCAATCTCTATGATTTTCTTCACTTCTTCTTCGCTGTATTCACTGACATCTAAAGTTTCATCCACCAGTTTTACATGCATGCCAGCTTCGTGAAATTTCCACGCCTATTTTGACAAAGTGACAAGTGCATTTCGAATAGGAAAGCTTTGTCGGAAGAAAGAACTTAGTGATGATATGAAAAGAAGATGAAATTTGAAAATGAGAACAGACCTGTTCAAGGAGATATTCAGTTTCTTGCATATGATTGCTCCTCCATCCACTGATTATTTCAAGAACAACATCACAAAAGCCATGGACGTCAACTTTCTCTGTTAGATGCCCATGAATTGCATATTCTGGTGCAGTATATCCCCTGTTTCAATTAGATCTCATTGATATGTTTGCTGTTCTCATAATGTTTTTACTGATGTAAGGAAAGAAACTCGAGCAGTTTGACTTACAAGGTACCAGCAAACTTAGTGCTGACATGACTCTGATCCCCAGGTAAAAGTCTTACAAGCCCAAAATCAGCAATTTTTGGCTGGAATTCATCGTCTAGTAGAATGTTACTGGATTTTATATCTCTATGGATGATGCAGACGTGGAATTGCTCGTGCAAGTAGGTAAGACCACGAGCTGTGCCAATGATTATATCATACCGTTGCTTCCAGTTGAGCATCCCTTGTTTGTCACCTGCAAAACCATGAAAGGTAGGATCTGTTTAAATTTTTATTGAGCATAAAGATTTGACTCGACTATCTTCTCAAAAAAAAAAGAAAAGATTTGACTTGACTAGGAGAAAAAATAATTGGTCGTATAGACAAAATCAACCATTTAAGTATCTTCCAAGGCTTCCATTTGCCATTTATTGATAAATAAGTACTATCTCTGCTCCCTTGTTAGAACATCCCAAAAGACGGATGAGATTGCAATGATGGACGTTGCTGATAAGCCTAACTTCAGTATCAAAATCTGCTTTTGCTCTGCTAGATAACATTGCTAGCTTTTTAACAGCAACTACATGTCCATTTTTCAAAGTTCCCTGTTCAATAACATTAATATCATCCTATGAACTAAATTTGAAGGATAAATGAGTAGGATTCGGTCAACTGTTTCAGCATAACCTACCTTGTATACATCACTAAAACCACCTTCACCGAGTTATTACTTTCATTGAAATCTTTTTGTAGCAGTTTTTAGATAATTCAATCTGTAGTTCACAGGACCTCTCAGCTCTGTTGCTCCCAGTATATTACCTGAACACGAGCTACGATATCAGTTACTACATAAATAAACATAAGGACAAATGAAAGAAGAAAAGAAAACCCCAAGTTCCATCAAGGCCAATCACAAGGGGCCAAGCAGAGGAACTCAAGGACTTATATAATGCTTGTTCTGACTTGCAGAAAGTGATTCTATTGGTTTTCCAATATAGTTATCATCTACTTCTTTGAAATTATTTGTGTTTAGCTTCATTTGTTGCTTTTAATTCTTATCTTTGTCTTGTTTCGTACTTTGGATCACATCAAAATGATAAGGTGATCTTCCAAGTTTTACCTCTTTCTGGTGTCTGTGGTTTTCTTGATTGTCTATACAATAGGAACACAGCCAGTACAATCATAAGAAGTCCTACACCTCCAACTACACCCCCAATGATGACTTTCTTCTTGTTTGAGCTTCCTGCATAAAGCACCGCCACCAATTTTAAGTTCATCTTAAAATGAATGAGGGATAATACATAAGCAGACGCTCAAACATGGCCACACCTGGAAACTAAGCAGACCAACTATGAGAGTGTACATCTAGACACATCAACTTGATCTCAACTGACAACTAAACACTGCAACTCATCAGTTGTCCCCTGTGTGTCTCTGGACACCCGATGCTGGCGTGGAACATAAATTTTGGAGGTGTCTGGATGATCATTTTGTAAGTTGGAGTGTTCAATTGACATGGTGAAAACGAGTTGAGGTGTCTAGATGTGCTATACCAATCATGAATTAATAATAGTAAGGTTTGGAAAAAGAGAGCTCCATGTCCTTCCTCCTTCACCAAGGGATGATCTGATATCAGTTATCTGGTTATCAGGAAAAAAGTCTCTATTCGAGAATCTTATAAAACAGGCTCCATCGAAAGCCCTTCCTTCCGCATGTTTAGGCGAACAGCCTTTTATGTTTGTATATGCCACTGTCAAGCAATCTTGGCAGCCGCTTGCAGTGATGGTTTCAGCGCATTGTGCTACTCCATAGACAGTAACACCAGCTTCTTTCTTATTCGTGGCTGCAAAGAAGCTACAAATTCTTTGAGTTCCCATGATAAGATCATTCAAAAGCTCTAGTGCCACAAGGTTCAAAGCATGCGTCCAATGAGCTGTTCGATTTCCACAGAAGTCCTTATTTGCTGGACTTGAAAAAATGCATCATTAGAGTATTAGAAGTGTTTGGATCACCTTCTTACTTTCTAACATAATCAACCATTTTCATGCTCATGAATCTTCTTAATACAATAACATACCCAGTGTAGTCCCACAAAGTGAGACCTGGAAGGGTTAAGTGCATGCAGACCTTACCCTTACCTCATAGGTAGAGAGGTTGTTTCTGATAGACCCTCGGCTCAAGGAAAAACGAATCAAAGCAATCTAGAAAAAGAAGTAACGGATGTGGAAACATAACAAAGCATGCTGTACAGTAACTACATCAAATCAAATCTTCTTTTAATAACTTGTTATTCACTGCTACCACTATGGGCTTCAACCTATAACAATTAGAAAATAGGCTGCTTCAGAAAGTGGATGCATATTGCACATAAAAAGGTAAGGAATACTTCTACTTGTCACAGTGTTGAGTTTCAGTGACATTTTTCCTGTGAATCAAAGATTACCAGAGGAATAAAGAGGATTTCATACCAAACAAGATTGTTTAATTGAAATAACGCTTTGAAATACTGAAACTAATAGCTTAGTTCTTACTTGAATTAATGTCAATAATGACTAAAATATTGCTAATATGATTATCCTGATTAAGCTCGAGGCTGCTGCATAGTATTTACTCTTTCTGTTTCAATTTGTTTGTCTTATTTTCCTTTTTAGTTCGTCTGAAAAAGAATGCCTCTTTACTTTTTTTTTGACAACTCTTTGATTCTAACTTTTCACATGACATGTTTAAGACCATAAGATTAAAGGACATGTTGATACATTTTACATATCTTTAGTTTAATACCACAAGATTCAGAAGTCTTTTTTACTTTCTTAAACTCCGTGCCAAGTTAAAATCAAACAAACAAAATGAAACGGAGGGAGTAGTACTTAAAGGTTCAGTATCGATACAGGAAACACAGCTTTTGACATATACTTTCTGCACATGACCATAGCATACACAGAATGTTGTGTGGTGGCGAAACGTTTATCATGTTTAGACAACTGGTTCCTTAAATCACCAAAACTTTCATTAAGCCTTTTGAAGAATCAGGTAAATTTGTTGCATTGTATGTACTACAGCCTTCGTCTAACAGGTTGGTTTGTGGATCGGAAACAACTGGCTTCTGCATCGCTAAACAACAGTTAAACGCCACTGTGAACAACCAGCTCCACCACCAGACGTACTTAGCCATGTCTGAGAATTTGATCCACAGAAATTTTGGTTATAATGCAATTGAAATGACTAAAGGTTTGAAGGGTAGATATTTATTCCATGTGTTTGGGCAGGGTCAGAACCAGATAGAGGCTAGGAGGTTCATCTGACCCCCTTCGACAGAAAATTACCCTGTTTATATATGATTTAGATTATTGTTATGTATAAATAGTAGATGTTGAACCCCCCTTTAACGTCTTCGTGTGTTAACTGTTCATATTTTGATCCCCTCGGTGAAGACTTTGGCTCGGCCACTGTGTTTTGGGTAGGTTCAAATATACCTCCGAGCAGTTTTGGTCCTTTATATTTGTCAAAAGAGAGCACTTTTGGTTTTCGTCCAAAAATATTAAACTGATTGTGGTTATATATTTAACAGGAAAAAGGATCATCTAGCCGGAAGTCTCGACTCGAACTTGGAGCAAGGTATGTGCAAACCTTACCCTACCTCGTAAAGTTAGAGAAGTTGTTTCCCATACACCCTCGGCTCAAGTAACACATCTCAAAGCAGTTTGAGAAAAGGAATACAGAAATGAAAGCAGTAACAACAACGAACTAAAGCAAAATAATATTTGTTTTGGAGACTTTCTTGGTAAGACTATGAAGATATATTACTCCCATGTAGTTCCATTTTAATAGAGGATTACACAATACTTTCTATATTCCAGTTAAGGATGATGAAAAAAGGCACCATTTTATATTAAAGCATAATTTTATTTTATTTTTTTGCTTTATCCGCGATGACTTTGTCATGACATGTTTAATACCACAAGTTGCTAAAGTCTACTTTTGTAGTACACATCGACGCATAAATTGAAATGGTGGAAATAATTCTCTTGTTTGTTATTTCTCTTAATATATTTGAAGTAAATATATATTTTTTATTTTTAAGGTTAAATCAGAAGTAGATACACGCATAAGTTCAAAATATCATTTCCCAGAAGTAGTGTAACTAATCAAATTGGACAAAGAGGTCATTTTCTTTGTTTTCTTAGTTGCTCAAAGTGGACCATTAACTTGTCTTCTCCTTCTAATGTAACATCAACTTTATGTGGTGTGAATCCGAATTAGAGTTGTGCTTTCATGCAGATATCGAACATCTGATGAAAAGCCAACTGAATTATTGTATTGAAGTAGCCCTAGTAAGGTTACATCATGTGAAAGCTTCTCTTCTGTTTGTTGTTGGATTTATCACTAGAATCCATGAAATATCGAATGTTGTTTAACCTTTGTGACAGTTAACTGCCCTCTGTTCATACGCCTTGGTGGGAAGAGTTATCTGACACCTGTGTTGGTGGAAATTACTTGGTACATAATAATGTGGGGTTAATTCGTTACACACTTAATAAGTGTTCTATTATACATTATTTTCCTTTTATCTTCATTGCTAGTAACATTTATTTTGTTGAAAGGTGGTATAGTTTGCCAATTGGTTGGATGACATTTTACAATATAAAGAAGAATTGTTGTTAATATGTGTCTAAAGAATCTTAGTGATTCCAACAAACTTTGCAGAAACATGAAGTTACCAAGTTTAATGAAACAGTGAAGAACAAAAGAATAGAAGAACTGAGATTAATTCACAAATCTAAAATTTGTAAAACACGTACCAGAATCTGGAAAATTTTTAATAGGAAAAAGATCAAGTCCACTGAACTCACAGTGTCCCCTTAAGGAAATTATACCCCTCTAGTATCCGAGGTTTGATTTGGAATATGACCTCCAAGTGTAAAAGAGTTAATACCTCATATGGTCACTCAACTATGCACTTTTTTCTCAGAAAGTCACTCAACTTTCAATTTTCACTCAAAAGTCATTCAACTATTCACTTCTTTCTCAAAAAGTCACTCAACTTTGAACTTTAACTCAAAAATCACTCAACTATCCGCTCTTTCCTCAGAAAGTCAGTCAATCTATTAAATTGTTTTTTTAACTAAAATTTATTGATATTAATTATTTATATAACAAATCAAAAATTTTTAAAAATAAAAATACCATTTAAACCATTTAGTGATCCACCCACGTAACCCGACCCATTAAAAAACATGATATGACCCATTTTGTTTTGTCTTTAATCCTAATTCAAGGTTTAAAGAGAGGGATTAATTTAGGATTAAAAATAAAATAAAATGGGTCATATCATATTTTTTAATGGGTCGGGTTAGGTGGGTGGATCACTAAATGATTTTAATTTATTTTTTAAAATTTTTGGTTTGTTAGTTTTGACTTGATACAGAGTTTAAGAAGATAAAAGAGACTTTTAAATTTGTCTTAGATTAAAGATATGTATGAAGTACCAAAATGTCATTTAATCTTATGGTTTATACATATCAATCGGAAAATTGAAATTAAAGAGATGCCAAAACAAGGAAAAAGAATTATTTTTGTAATAGACGAAAAATGAAAGTAAAACAAACCAATTGAATCACACGGAATAATATTTAAATGCTACCAAGAGCAATTTCGAAAGAATTATATAAATGTTCTACTCTTTATTGTACTTGCATGTTTTTACTATTTATATGAACATGACTATATAAGAATCATTATGGGGCCAACCAACATAATGTCTATACCTCAACTTGTTTGGAACAGAAGCGTAGTTGTTGTTTGTTACAACATACTAGCGGCCGGTGAAATCACTAAAAGTGTTGGTTGCAGTTGAAGCTGATGATCCTGTAGTCATGGATGCGTCGAATGCTTTACTCTTATCCATGCTAATGATAGTAGGCCTGCTTGGAGTTCTTGATTCTGTGCTACGATCGCTTAATAGCATCACAACAACTTCAGACATGCTTGGCCTAAGATTTGCTGGTGACTGTGTGCACATTAACGCGATCTCTATGACTTTCTTCACTTCTTGTTCGTTGTATTCGTTGGGGTCTAATGTCTCGTCCACTAGTTTTACAGGCGTGCCAGTTTCATGAAGCTTCCACGCCTATTTCACCATGCCAAGATTAGATAGGACTCGCGAAAAGGTGATAGTTTAGATGTGTTTTATCATTAACTCAAACAAAGATTGTATATTTGAAAATGAGAACAGACCTGTTCGAGTAGATATTCAGTGACAGGCTCGATTTGCATATCGTTGCTCCTCCTTCCACTGATTATTTCAAGAACGACAACACCAAAGCTATAGACGTCAACTTTCTCTGTTAGATGTCCATGAATTGCATATTCTGGTGCAGTATATCCCCTGTATCAATTATATCACATTGAGTTATTCGCGTTTTTTGCATAATGCCTTTACTTATATCAGGAAAATCGTAAAGTTCGACTTACATTGTACCAGCAAACTTAGTGCTAACATGACTTTGATCCTCAGGTAAAAGTCTTACAAGCCCAAAATCAGCTATCTTTGGCTGGAATTCGTCGTCTAGTAGAATGTTGCTGGATTTTATATCTCGATGGATGATGCAGACGTGGAATTGCTCGTGCAAGTATGCAAGGCCACGAGCTGTGCCAAAGATTATATTGAATCTTTGCTTCCAGTTGAGCATCCCTCGTCTGTCTCCTGCAAAACCATGAGAGGTAAAATGACTACTTTTAAGACTTTTCCTTGATTTGACTCGGAGAAAATAGTAAGGCGGATAGACAAAAATATCAACCATATAAGTATCTTTCGAGGCTGCCATTTGCCATGTATTCGTAAACAAGTAGTAGGTCTGATGCTTTGTTTGAACATCCCAAGAGACGGATGAGATTGCGATGATGGACATTACTGATAAGACGAACTTCAGTCTCAAAATCTGCTTTCGCTCTGCTTGACATAATTGCTAGTTTTTTAACAGCTACTACATTTCCGTTTTTCAAAGTTCCCTGTTCAATAACATTAGGGTCAACAAATGAATAATACATTGAAAATCGAAGATCATCTAGTCCATATGACTAAAATTAGGATCTTCAACTGTTTTTGTGTTACATACCTTGTATACATCACCAAAACCACCTTCACCAAGTTTATTACTTTCGTTGAAATCTTTGGTAGCAATTTTTAGATCCTTGAAGCTATAGCTCACCGGGCCTCTCAGCTCAGTTGCTCCCAGTATATTACCTGAATATGAACTACTATATCATTTAACAACATGAATAAATGGAAGGACGAAACAGAACTAAAGAAGATTCAGAAATGATCATCCGAATTTGACCTCTCTCAGCTGTCTTTGGCTTTCTTGATAGTCGATACCATAGGAAAACAGCCAATACAATCAAAAGAAGTCCTACACCTCCAACGACACCTCCAATAATGACGGCTTTCTTCTTGTTTGAACTTCCTGCATAAGCAACACCACCAATCATAAACTTGTCTTAAAACGAGCTAATACTAGTAAGAGTTGAGAAAAAGAGAGGTTCATTTCCTACCTCCTCCGCCAAGAAATGGTGTGATATCAGTTGTCGTGTTATCAGCAAAAAAAGCTCTATCCGAGTACCTCATAAAACACGCTGCATCAACAGCCCTTCCTTCTGCATATTTAGGTAAACAGCCTTCTATGTTCTTATATGCAACTGTCAAACAATCTCGGCAACCACTTTCCGTTATGCTTTCAGCACACTGTGCTACTCCGTAGACAGTAACACCGGATGCTTCCCTCTTTGTGGCTGCGAAGAAGTCACTAGTTCTTGGAGTTGCTGTACTAAGATCATTCAAGAGTTGTAGTGCCACGGGGCTTAAAGCATTCGGTTGAGAAGATGTTCTGTTCCCACAGATCTCAGCATTTCCTGGTTGTGTAGTATCTTGGTAGAAGTTGTTGCTCTCGTACCTTTTAAAAGAGGCATCAATAGAGCAATGAGTTAATGATTTAGAAGGTATTCCACATCTATGTTGCTCAGATCCTCCGAAAATGAGTTAAACTTTTGAATGATCCAACACACTCTGGACAACATTTTTCAAGGATCCGAGCAACATAAGTTTATGGTAAAGTTCTACTTCTCATAGTGTTGAGTTTTCACGATCTTCTTTCAATCGAAGATTGCCACAACCAGATACACATGATCTCACATCAAACAAGATGGTTTACAATTACAATTCATGATTCTTCAAAGAAATGAAACTTTAAGCAAGACTCAACAACTCTGATGTGAAAATACTAAGAGCAATTGCATAAGATTTTGAACCAAACTTGAGGGAACCAAAAATAGAATAACTTTAACCGCGTATTCACTGTCCTTAAGGAACTTATTCCCCTGCTACGTTGTTTCTTGATATATGGAAGAAGTAATTCCTTCATAGGAAATTCGAGTTCAACAAAAACTTAAATCACCACACAAAATGAGTATTTCAAAGAGTTAAGCACCACTAACTCTTATCAATTTACGTTGTTCAGACTCTTTAAAAACATCAACTATTCAAAAGTAGTGCATTATGAGAGGATAATCCGGCAAAAGCATAACATAATTGAGTCTATATTACTAGAAGAAACTTATATAGTCGACTCAAACTTGTTTTCAGGTGAATTGAACTCACCTGAGGAAGCAACCATCATAAGTAACACGAGCGCCATTCGCGCCAGAGCAAGTTCTGATGAGAGAAACAGCAGAATCATAACAGGAAACACAATCAGCTCTTGACAAATACTTTCTGCATTCAATCATAGCATAAACAGCCTGTTGTGTCGTGGCGAATCGCTTGTCTTGATTAGACAATTGATTCCTTAGATCAACAAAACTAGCAT